GACCCAGCGCCAGCGGTCTCAGCTGTGCGTTGCTCGGTCTGTCGTGAATCCGTCTATCAGTTTCTTTTATATATATTACTAGCTGACCCGGCAAACGTTATTTTGCCATATACATTATTTCTAGGAAATAAAGAAAAAAAATTTTTGTGGTGGGTCACCCTTGTCATTTACTGGTATGAAAAATAGATGTTGGCCTATTCTCAGACTTACCCGATGTACACACAAAATTTCATAAAAATCGGTCAAGCCGTTTCGGAGGAGTATGGTAACTAACATTGTGACACGAGAATTTTATATATAAGATATAGATCACAAGAACTTAACAGAAGAAGATATTGAATTTTGTAAGAGATTTAATGTACTTTCATGGCGAAAGAAAAAAGCTTTAATCTAGTAGATCGCAGTTCTTTCACTGAAACCTTTAACCAAAGATGTGAGTTTTCTTCGTTAGATAAACATATATGCCTTGCTTGAAAATTTTTGAAAATATTTGTACCTGGAATCAATAAAATCTTTTGAAACCCGTCAAACATTATGAGCGTCCCTTTGAATCGCTTTTATATGTACAAAAAACCAGCGATAGAGCCATTCGCGAATGTGCGAAATCAAACATTCGTTACATCACTCATTAACACAATGGGAGTTAGACTTACCATCCTCTGCCTTAACCAGAGGATTTTGTTCCCTTCTTTACTATTCTTTGGATTTATTTTTACATACAGCTGATAATACTAGACAAGTTCATGATATGTTTATACCTCTCATCACGAGCTCCGCATTAACAACTGCGCAAGGATCAAACGCCGCACGTACGTAGCGCTCGACACGTGGCCGTCACATCGCTACGAAACAGATACGTGACGAATTGCAATATTTTTTATACATGTATTTAGCCACTTGTGGGATAGTCTTTGATGTTAAGCACGTTTGTAATTTTGCACTAACTAAAAAAGGAAACTGCATTTTCATATTGTGACTGATATAAATTACACTCGGTTCCAAAAATTACGGGTCAGTCACAAAAATTGAAATACCTCCAGAACTGTAAAAGTTAGATCAATGGAATAAAAAACAGAATAAAGACTTTTTAGTTGCGCTTCTAATAGCATATTATTTAAACTGGTTGATGAAAAAAACTTCATTAGAAAAACAAAATTTAAAAAAATGTCTATTTTTAAAAACAAAATTTTTGTTTCATTTCATTATGGATGCTTTCCATTTCTATTCTGTCACAAAAAAAATATCGGGAACGTCTTCCACGTGCATAATTATTATTCTGTGAGGTGAAGCATGGCAGTCACGCTAGAGGAATGTACCAGAATCCTAACTTTTTTGGAACTTGGGCGGAGCCAGCGTGAAACAGCCAGAAAAATTGGTGTATCTTTGTCGACTTTTCAGCGGGTAGTCCAGCGGTACCAAGAGACCGGATCACACCTTAGAAGACCAGGAAATGGCAGACCAAGATGCACAACGGTCAGGGAAGACAGACAACTGGTGGCTACAATGCTCCGAAATCGTTTTCAAACTGCTGTTGGTCTAAAAACTCACTTTATTCGCTTTGGAGGTGGCAATTTAAGCGCTCAAACAGTAAGAAGACGTCTTGCTGAAGCAAATTTGAAACCACTGAGGCCCGCAAATGGCCCCAAACTGGAACGGGGACATCGAATTGCAAAACAGAGATACGTGCGCGAGCACCTAAACTGGACACAAGACGATTGGTCTAGGGTAATGTTCACGGACGAGTCTAAATTCATGCTTTATAAGCATGATGGTAGGCAGTTGGTGTACAGAAGACCAGGAGAGCGCTTCCATCAAGCGTGTGTGGAGGAAAAAGTGGCTTACGGTGGAGGCTCCGTACAAGTTTGGGCTGGGATTTCTACTGAGGCCCGCACCCAGCTGGTACTCATTCAAAATGGAACTCTAAATGCAGAGAGGTACGTGGAAGAGATCCTCAATGAACATGTAGGTCCTTTCATGGCCAGGATGGACCGGCATGGTATATTAATGCATGATAATGCGCGTCCCCATACCGCCAGAATTGTACATGATTACCTTTAAGATGTCGGTATCGAACTCATGCAGTGGCCAGCGCGAAGCCCGGACTTAAACCCCATCCAATCACGCTTAGCGAGCTCAAACAAGCACTGGTGGAGGAAATGGAAGGTATTCCTCAGCACTGGCTCCGAAATTTGGTGTACAGCATGCCTAATCGCCTGGAACCTGTCAGAAGAGCTCGTGGAGGCAATACAAAGTATTAAATGAAGAAAGTGATGAAAAACAGCAAAAAAACAATCATAAAAAAATGTAATCTTAAGAAACATATAACTACTTTAGTTTTTTTTTTAATTTAGAGATAAGTTAAGAGTTAGAGAGTTTAGATTTAAGTTTTATTTTATTTTTATCTGTATAATTAAATTCTCAATTGAACAGTCTTCGTTTCATTAGGATGGCATACGTAGTTCGGGAGATATTCGGGTTTATGTGACTGACCCGTTATTTTTGGAACCGAGTTTATTTATATTTAAACGGTTTAACATTAAACAGATACTTATCGATTTAAATGTTTTTTTAATAAAACTTTGTCATACAAGTAATCCAGAAAATATTTTCTGCATCAAAACTGCAAATGTAACTAAATGTAACTAATGTAACAAAACTGTAACTAACCTATATTCCACAAATAAAGTATTATGAATTATGAATGTATTCTACTGGTGCAGCTTTGATAGAAAATACATTGGATAAACACTCAGTGAGGTTCATTTTAATTTATAGGAAACTAGGCTCCGCCGCCTGTATAAAGTAGGTATCGCAGTATAAAGTGGCCTGTGTCCTTAATCAAGAATCAATTTAAATCGGTATATAAGTAAGTAGTAATATAATCGGTATCGGTATATCGGCGGAATAACCGCTAATTATTGATTCCCCATACAAACTTCCAACCCCCTTTTCAGCCTGTTAAAGGATGATACAGGAGCCAGGAGTTCCACTAAAAACCACCACGATGGCCAGCCTTAGGCGCCCTTCTCTAGAAGCTCATATGTAAGATCGACCAAGTGACAAAGTTTAAATTTGAAACCCAGGTAACGAATAATTTTCTTCTGAATTTTCTCAATCTCATTGGAGTAACAATCTTATTCCGATTTCTCTAGGAACTCTGAAATCTATAGCCACTAACTTTCCGAAAAATATTGGTTTTGCTTCTTTTCGTAGCACCTTTTTCTTTTTCGTCTATACTTGGACAACTAGCCTTTCCCATACAAAATGCGCGTGCGAAATAGGCAACTACTTAGTACTAGTCTCCGGTATGGAATTCGAAAACTAGTTTAGTTTTCATTTGATTTTACATTGCATTCAGATATATTACATTAAACCTCCTTTCTAAGGAGAGGCTTATGATGATGATGATGACATTAATCTGTCCACCAAGAATACCGAACTCAACCATTAATAAATTTGACGTGCTCTTTAAAAACGAACACCGCCAAACAAAGAAAAATAAATATTAGCAAAAAAAAAGAATCAGCAATGTAAAGGAAGGCTTTCTTAACAAAATATAGTAACAATTCAACACTTAACGTTGATTTTTATCGAAGAACGAATGTACATGGACACTTTTAACAACACTCGATACATTTCACAAAGCACGCCGCCCATTGTCATAGAACAAACACATTAAACTGTTCGCCTGTCTGTGATCCTCTCGGAGGAATTTCACTTTTGTCCAAATGTTTAGATCTGTATCTGCTAATTGACGTTATGTTCTATCTAATCCACCACAAGTATCTCTTGTATCTAATCCACCACAAGTATAACTTGAAAAAAACGCATACCAAAATAAAGTATGTAATGGATAAGTATATCAGCTATCAGTGTAAATTAGTAGGTATTAACATTTTAATATTTAATAACTATTATATAAAATGTTAAATCCATTTCTATACCCCAGCTTCTACTACTCAACCTTTTAATTTCAATTTAATATACTACTAAAAGTAATTAAGTTATTAGCAAACTTTGTTTGATTAAGACTTACTTGGGTTACAATGAAAATAAATGACTTATTTCCCTCCTAAAGAGAAATAAAAAAAGGCTGGCTAAAGATTGCCCATAGATATACCTAAATTGGTTTTAAAGGTTCACTATTACCTTTTGTTTTGTTAAATGTATTCTGTTATAAGAGGCATCCAAAATTTTTTTTAAAACACTGTAAAAAAGTATCGCCTTCAGTATATTATAATACAATTCTTACACTACAGCCTGAACAGCAATTTATTATGTTAATATACTATTATATACCTTCTCTATAGGCTACAGTCGAACGCACTGGCCGAGTTCAGCCTCCGTATCAATTATTAATACGTGTACATTAATAATAATTAGGCGGGTACATACGAGACCCTTTTATTGAGATTTATAAAATGGAATACAATTAGACTACTGGGCGTCCAATAAATGCAGCTTTCATACCATACAAAAATATCACGTTACATGCGCTCTATCGCATCCTGGGATCCTACTCCCCTTTATGAAACTGTACATAACATACATTTATCTCGTTACAAAGGAACAAAGGATTTGATACAAATACATAAAACACTCCAAATGTTGAGAGGATAATGCCCATCATTATAAATTCATGTGTTTTGTCTTTTACAATATTTATTTTGAACAGTTTCGAGGGGGGAAACCCTATTTTCGCTTGAAAGCTCCCGAATTCGCGTATAGAAGGCGTCGGGCGGCACCGCGGGGCACCGTCATTGGCCCGCAGCTCCCTATTACTCCCCACCATGCAAAGACTCCGCCCTTGTAGAAATTCTCCCCGAACCTTAGCGTACACGTTCATTCAGTACGCAGTTGTCGCTGTAGAAGGTAGTCGTGTTGCACAGTTACTAATTACGAGAACTGACACATTTGAATCATCGCTGAGTCAGATCGTTGCGCGTGTTAAGTGATGGTATTCTATTCAGTGTAAATTAATTCGAGGTGTAATGCACGCAATGAGTGATCCCGCTGCTTTAGCAGGCATGTTGCCGTTTGACTCTATTGGACTGTACGAACAACCAAAACCGCGTTTTATTTTCAAAATGCCGAGGGTAGTACCGGATCAAAAGGGCAAATTTGAATCAGATGATCTCTTCAAAAGATTGAGCAGAGAGAGTGAGGTGTGTGTTAGTTAATTATTATATTAAATTTAATTGATACGTACTTAAGTAACTTTAAATTCTTTGTTCCCGTTTTCGTTATTTGCGCAATACAATTGTTTGTAACAGGAAAATGACTTACCAACTTATTCATTAGTTTCAAAATCGTAATCACTCATTTCGTATTGTTTTCCTTTTATTCAATAATATTCAGCTTAGTTGGAGTGTTTTGTCGGTGGGATGCATAACATAATTATCTTTTTTTGAGAGTATTGTTCATTGATCAAAAGCGCGTTGAATTCTTTTACTAAGCACATAGCGTAATTTACAAAAAATCCAGAACATTCAAATAATTTATTTTATGAAATCGTGTTAGTAGTAATTGGCGTTTCTCTTAGTTTTCCTTTAATTGACTTAATATCTTATGCTTGTTAGGTGAGGTACACAGGATACCGTGACAGGCCGCCCGAGGAGCGCCAGATGCGGTTCCAGAGCGGGTGTCGTGAAGGACACACTGAAATTGCATTTACCGCTACGGGCACTAACCTTCAGCTGGTGTTCGATCACACGCCCTACAATAATCGAGGCTGCGATTTCCAGAAAGAAAGCGGCAAGGTAAAGATATTAAATCTTTCATTAACCGTCGACTACAAAATTTTAGTTGCCCGAATAGAATTTGCCTTAATATAATATTTACAGCACACGACAGCATCTTTAAATTGTGTAGTGTTAGAATATTCGTTCGAAATTGAGTAACATTTCATCAAAATGTTAAGTTTAATTATCAAAGAAATTTAAACACAGATGCCAGCCTTATTCAATAAACAAACAACAACTTATAATTGACAAGTATCATTATTGATAAAAAAAATCTATGAAAATTATTATATGTTACTAAGAAAACATAAAATCAGCAAATATGTACATACCATAACGCATATATCTATACATACATCGGCGGGAATCGCGTTTAAGTAGGTGAGAAGAGTGAACGTTACATGATTTCCAATGATTGATATCCAATGGTCGGACAGACTCGGAATAGATTTTATTATTTTAAAGTATAGATTCTTTTTAAATAATTCATTCATTTTAAATAATCTGAACCCTAATTATAAACAGACAGTTAAAAATTTTAGACCGCAGGTTACCTAGTACCTACCTATGTACTAGAATAAAACTGGTATATTTATAAGACTTACACGTGATGTACATACGTAGTTATAAAGATTATCTGATATAATCTGATACCACTAATTGATTTATCAAACAAAAAACAAGAACGAACTAATCTGGTTTTACCGTCATGATCACCAATGGGAATCCCTATTCAAAGAAAATCCCAATTACAAGTAGAGATGTTAATTAATTCTTAAACACAGGTTTGTTAACCATTAATACGCGTACAAATAAGTAATCTGTAATTTTCTTAGTGTTTAATTTAAAAATCATAATATATCAGTTAACCTTCTTAGTATATAATGAACAACAATCATTTTAAACAATAGAAATATTACCGGCTCATATTATTGTATTCAAATTTCAAATACTCGTATATAACAGGTACAAACCTAATCCTGAAAGGCAGCTACATCGCTTTACTGCAACGACCGCAGCGACTGTTAGCTATCAGGGTCATAAAGGGGTACGGCCGGCTGGAACTCCACCATGGTACCTGGAGGTAAAAGCCCTTGCCCTGGCTCGAGTAATCCAGGATCAGAAATCCCAACTCCGCCGGGTCGTCATAGGGGAGTGGAAGGAACAAGTTGGGCAACCAAGCGCCGGGCATGCCGTTATTGCGGCGGTAAGACCCGTTATGGAGGATTGGCTGGAGAGGCATCACGGGACCCTCTTATACCAGCTGACACAGGTGATCACCGGTAAAGGATGCTTCGGGATCACCTTTGTCTGATCCACAAGAAGCCAACGCCTGAGTGTCACCACTGCGATTGCTGAACTGTGGACATGGTGCTCCACATGCTAACAGAAAGCTTGGTGTGGGTTGAGCAGAGGTGTAACCTCGTGGCGGCCATCGGAGTGGGAATTCTTTCACTTAGTACCATGATTGCGGCCGTGGTAAGGAGCGAGACCGCTTGGAACTCCGCCGTCTCCTTCTGTGAGCAGTTTATACTTGCGAATGAGACGGCGGAGCGGGATTGAGAGAAATTCAGAAATCTCCCGGTCCACCAGGCCCGGGAACGGGCCAGTTACTGCAGACGACTCAGGCCGGAGTACGCAAAAACGACGTCCGTCCTACATAAGCGCAAGCCTGGGGGTGACAGTTGAGGCCATGTGTGAAGCGCGCGCGTCCTTTAGGTTTAAGTTGTACAATGGGAATACCGTGGTTCCCACTCACGAGGGATCATCTACAAGCTAGATGGCCCGGGGTACCAGGGTACACATGGTACCCGAGACGGCATCGGTTTTCAGTCAGTTCGAGTCCGACATAACCAGCGGCGGGTGGTATGCAAAGGGATTCCCCATAAAAAAAAGGAATACGCCTAATATTCCGTCCAACCAGTTCCTATATCTACTAGTTGAAATAATTACTGATTCAAATTACTATGGTCATTTCACTTGATAAGTTAATTCGTGATCATGGCGCAACAGTGTAATAATTTTTACTTATTACCATGACGTATATCTCTATTATACATAATTAACATAATATTTAATGGTATTGTTAACATAACTTACTAATGAGTTCAATCTAATGTAAAAATATCATATCAATAGGTAGTGTCAGGTAAATTTAGCTACCTAAAGTAGTATTTCCCAAACGCAAGACCATGACAAGACTTAGCGTCTGGGTATTTGTCTTACGTCTATACACCTAGTCTTGGTATTCCGCTATCAGCCTTGTTCTCGCGAGACTACCACAACTTCTTGCAAAAACTTAAGAACTACATCAAGACCGATTTTGAGCAACTTTAATCTAAAGTTCAGCAAAGTCTTTTCTTAGTTTGCTTAAAATCAAGCAAGCGGGCAAGAGTATGTAGATACTAATATACCCTTTTCTCATCTTTCTTTACACTATATATTACAACTACAACATATATTATACCTTGTGATAAAAAAAATCCTTATCCTCAAACGGCGTAGCGTATAGCACATTGACGCTTACTTCATATTCACAGTCTCCTATAAGTCGTTAAACCAAAATGCCTCATTCGTCACCTGACAAAGTCTGATGTTCTGGCAAGTCATCAACATTGGAAGCTTCCGGCCCACATAGTCATAACCAAAATTAAGACATAAATAACTTTAGACTTACTAATGATAAATTGTAAAGGCGTAACACCGCACATAACATACCAGTCACGCTCAACATCAACTTAATACAATCGCATGGTGAATGACGTCTATTCTATGAAGAATCATTCTAGTCAACCTAATGTTCGTGCTGACGCATACATATGCATTCGTTTTGAATACATGATAAATACAATTATCATTATAATTTGTCGGACACAAAAAAAATATTAATGATGCAGTTATTTTCTTTCACATACGTAAATTACGAAAATTTTGTTTTTGTGTTATAACTTCTAAGATTTTAAGTAAATTTGTAAAAAAATATTACTTAAGCCTTAAGCCTAAAAAAGATTTCTTCACACATTCCTCTCGCGATACTGTTATTTAATTTTTAATCTAGATACCTCTGGTTATCATATCAGTGCGGAGACGATGAGTACCAGTTTTATTTGAGTTGAGATCATAGTCGTTTTTTATTCGCTATAGTATCTATCTTTCTTACCTAACTTTCAGTGCCCAACTACCTTAAAATGAAACTTGAAAACGAAGTCATTAGTGCAAGTCTCTGTTCCATCGCCTAAAACCACCCCGGAGTGATTTCCATATAATATGTACAGATATTTATATGGATTATAAATAATAATTATTTATTTTCCAAGATTATAATCTTGTTAAATGTACTTGGAATACTAAAAAGTGTACACGTGTAAATGGTAACATGGTAACCATTGTAATAATTTGTACAACATTCCAATATCGTAATTCAAGTATCAAGCCAATCTAAATTCAGCATTTGTATTACATAGTTCTGCATAGGAAACAAAACAGTTAGAAAAAAATCTGGGTACAGGTAGAAAAAGAAAAATCTTAGTTACATTTTTCCAAAACATTGTCTGTAGAACATGCAAAAAAAAGCAAAAACGTATTAAAATGACACACGGTATAAATTTTTAATATAATCAATTTTTTATGCTTTCACTTCCAGATCACCACAATCTCTATATACTTCACAATCTTGCATTATGTATCTATATTTATAACGATAATAGGAGATCCCATTTGGTGCCTGTTTTATTGAATTTAGCCCCTTCATATCGCAGAAGCCACCCGCTGGGCTCTCGTATGAATACTTATATTTATTTACACTCGGTTCATTTAACAAAGCACTCGAGTGTGCACAAGCCCTCTTCTTGTAACGATGTTTTATTATAATATTCTTTAACGCACTTATGGATTTATATTTTTATTCAACGGTCTATAATCATTTAGGCATAATCACTATAAAGTTGGAACTGGACAAGTTATAAACAAAACGATCAAGCTATAAACAAAATAATAAGATTCACGCAAATGGATGACACAGAAGGATGAATAATTCAATCAAAACATAAGTACTGTACAGCCTTATATTGTACTTACGCAGAAGAACCAGTCTAATTATACAATGTGTCTCGGTTCGGACTGTACAAACTTTAGGGGGTGATAGTTTGCTCTATTTTATCACTAAAATCATTCTACAGGTGGGGTCTAAACCCAACGGCCTCTGAATGGCAGCCATTTTTGTATTTTGGTTGACTTTTTCGTAGCGTCCATACTAAAAGTTATGTAACTTTGGAGTTTAATGTCCGATTATCGTAAAACAAAAACTTCCCATAACGGAAAAGTATTAGCAATCAGATAAATAACTCAAATAATTTTAATAATTGCTGTATCATATTAAAATGAATGCTAAAAGATCAACTTTACGTCAAAATTAACATTGTTTTTTAGTATTTCAAGGCTATTACAAAAAACACCCCTGTGAACTATCTCTTATTATGCATGTGTCTTACAGATGGTAAGCTTACCTAAATAATGATACCAAAAACTCGATTCTATGACAATTGGTTTAAAAAGTATCTTTCTTTACACTATATATTACAACTACAACATATATTATACCTTGTGATAAAAAAAATCCTTATCCTCAAACGGCGTAGCGTATAGCACATTGACGCTTACTTCATATTCACAGTCTCCTATAAGTCGTTAAACCAAAATGCCTCATTCGTCACCTGACAAAGTCTGATGTTCTGGCAAGTCATCAACATTGGAAGCTTCCGGCCCACATAGTCATAACCAAAATTAAGACATAAATAACTTTAGACTTACTAATGATAAATTGTAAAGGCGTAACACCGCACATAACATACCAGTCACGCTCAACATCAACTTAATACAATCGCATGGTGAATGACGTCTATTCTATGAAGAATCATTCTAGTCAACCTAATGTTCGTGCTGACGCATACATATGCATTCGTTTTGAATACATGATAAATACAATTATCATTATAATTTGTCGGACACAAAAAAAATAT